TTCATCTCTCTCTTGATAATGAATTCAAATCAATGCTATAATTCATGCATTCAAATACATGTGATCTTACAGCACTACTTCATCTTTGTGTCTGATTTGAAGCGAGCAGAATGCTAGATCTCCGCTGCGTGTTGGGTGGTTCCCCTTCAAGGGAACTTCGAGCTGCGTCCCCCTCTAGGGGACATTTTGGGAAATGCTGCCAGCATGACCGGCGTCTGAAGCACGTGTAAAACAACGGCAATCCTATTGGTCCATGTGGCCTGTGACGTCATAGGCAGGTACCTGAAAGTATAAAAGAGAACCTGCTGAATACATCACCAACTTTTGTTGTCTTCGGAGCCGTCTGTTTGTTCACATGTGTGAAACGTCATCCTGGTGGGTCGAGCCGCGCTTTAGGGAATGTGTGCCTTTGTGTTTGGATTCTAGCCCTTGAGGGTATATTCTAACTTTTGCGTTTTTGTCTCGGTGACTACACGCTCATTGTGATGAGTCGCAATGATAATGCTCCACTCGCTCTTGTTCTTATTCCCGAGGGATGTGTGGCAAAGCGTTTGTTCCTTGGGCAGTTGCCGCAGCACGGTTTATCTCAGCTCGCGGCAATTGCTTTGATCTGTGGTGTCCGCATACCCTTTAAAAATCGGGATGCCTGATGCCATGGATAATGCTTTTACGGCGTTGCTATAACGATGAAGTGTGGGCTAGAGGTCTTCACGGGTCCACTTGGATCCGAAAACCTGAGGTCCGACCTGAGCAGGTTCGGGTCCAAAATTTCTACAAGTGCCTCGGACACGGGTCGGGTTCGGTATTAGCGGCCTCGGGTCTGGGATAATTTAAAATAAATGTGCTTTTTTTCAAATGGACCCGATAAGACCCGAATTCTTTTAAACTATCGCTGTGTACTTGCGTAATGTGTACTTGCACGTTCGCGTTAAGTGAGAAACGCACATAGAAAAGGAGCATACGTTAACCTCGCCAACAGAAATCGATCTTACAGACATAAGATCCATTAGGAAAATCCATTCGCTTCATTACTCTGCGTATTCATGCAGGGCTTTTCTTTTTTGTGTGCAGAAGCATTTCGCCAGAAATTTGGTTGCAGACAACACTAGCGAAGCCATGAATTATGCTATGATCATTAGTTATGCTTTAGATTAGCCATGAAAAGCTATCAATTTATTTTTTATCAAACTATCACGTTTGTTTTTCAAATCCACTGGTCACAACTGAAAGCCGAACTCAGAAATAACTTGTATCCATCAGGCAGGCAATAATATAATAATTAATAACAAATAAGTAATAACAAAATTAAATAAATGTTAAATAAATGAAAGTAATGGAGAAGCGACCAAATCAGTCAGCAGGACACCGGGGTTTTTCTGACTGGCTGCGGGGCTGCAGGCTGTGCACACGTCAATACTGTTTACGTTCGGGTCCAGTCTGGTTCGAAAATAAATGCAGTCGGGTCGGGTTGGACTCGGGTCTAATTTCATCGGGTCTGTCTCGGGTCAGGTTTTTCTTTTTTTTAAAAATAATTTATGCACGTCGGGTTCGGGCAAGAAGTGATTCGGGTCGATTCGGGTCGGGTACAGATTTTAGAACCCGAGAAGACCTCTAGTGTGAGCACCAAGTCGTTTTTAGCTCCAAGCTTACGAGATTGTGAGATCACGGGCGGAGCTATATTCAGCTCAGCTGTGCCTCTGTAATATGCTTTTTATTGTGTGTGGAGAGCCTCGCTGGGCGTGGATATACTGAATGTCCGTGGAGAAACGCTTGCGAGCTTTCTCTCCCAGGGTGTTTAAGTCACCTAGAGTGGTTATGGGGAATGCTTCTTCCTATGCTCCTTCCATGGGTTTAGGTGTGAGCTGCCTCCCCAGGCTTCTGGGTATTTTTAAGTGGGTGGTGCCTCTGAATCCCGCTCAGTAAGTTTGGGCTGAGTAGACAGTTCCCCCTCTTGAGTGCTTTAAGTGAACAGTCTCTGCTCAGAGCGGATGGTTATGCTGCAGCTCAAACTTGCTTTGCTCTGGAATATAGCAGTGTGAGGGCATCTATATTCTAGCCTGATGTCTATGACTAGGTTGGGTTCCCCTTGGCACAAGCTCTCTCAGGTAAGTGCTGAAGTCTTTGTCTAGGAATCTGCTATTTGAGGATAGTTGTGTTCCAGCTCGGAGACTGCTCCCCCTTGTGGTTTTTTAAGTAATGGTCTCCTTGGGCCCTTGCCTAGACTGTGCTGTCTCCCCTGTTTGGGTTTTAAGTAGATGGCCCACGTCCATGGTCTGGGCAAACTTCAGCCTTATTTGAGAGAAATGCTATTTGAGGATGGCTGTGTCCAGCCACCTAGTGTTATGGCTGTTGCTTGCATCAGGTTTTGATCTTGGACTAATGTTTTTTTTATGTGTTCACTCTTTAGCGAATCATGTGCTGATGGTCTGGATCTCCCTCTTGTGAGTCTCTGGTCAATATAACAGTGCACTCTAGCCTACTGTGGGACTGACACTGATTGGGGACCTCCTTAGCATAGCCATCTGAGGGTGGTTATATTTTAGCCATTGTTATGGCAGGACGGGCTTACTTGAATACAGCTATCTGAAGCTAGCTGTGTTTTCACATCTCCTTTCCCAGAAACATTGCTATCTGAGGATAACTATGTACTAGCACGGTGATCTCTCCCCTGCCTAGGGTTTTTAAGTAGCAGTCTCCTTGAGCCCTGCCTAGATAGTGCTGTCTCCCCTTATAGGGTTTATAATTAGACAGCCTTGAGTCTAATGACCACCTTGAGCTGGTGGTCTTGGCAGTTGCAGTGGTCCCCTTTCCTACAGCCTAGCTATTTGTGGATAGCCATGTGCAAACTCAGTGATTGCTCTCCTGCCTAGGGCTTTGAGCCCTTACCTAGACAGTGCTGTCTCCCTTCTTTGGGTTGTAAGTAGACAACCCACTCTCTGTGGTTTGGGGAGTTTCAGTCGGTCCCCCTTCTGGTAGCCCTTCCTACTCATATAGCTATCAGAGGATATCTATGTGCTAGCTCAGTGACTGCTCCCTTTTTTAGGGTCTTTAAGTACCGGTCTCCTGGAGCCCTCACCTAGACAGTGCTGTCTCCCCTGCTAGGGTTGTAAATAGATAGCCCACTCTTTGTGGTCTGGGCAGCCTCATAGGAGGGTTTACCTACTGTAGTTATTTAGGCTAGCTGTGCGGGACTAGCTGTTTGATAGCTCGGTGATTGCTCCCCTTCTTAGGGTCCCTTTCTAGTAGCCTCCTCAGAGAACTAAGTTAGTGATGTATTAAGCATGTGCCCTTTTATACTTTTGGGTAACCACCTATGACATCACAGGCCACGTGGACCAATATGATTGGTGTTGTTTTACAAGTGCTTCAGACACCGGTCATGCTGGCAGCATTCCCCAAAGTGTCCCCTAGAGGGGGATGTAGCTCTCAGGGAACCATGGTTAAATGCATAACTCGAGACGTAATTTGCCTCCATCATGCATTAAATAATTTAATGCACAGTTAGCCATAGATTACATAAATGAAAACAGAATTATTTTGTATTGTTCAAGTTAACAGTCAGTTTATTTATTTACTTATTTGTTTATTTAGTTTATGCAAAGTGTAACAAGAGGTTGAAACGTCTGAAATGACATCAATAAATAATAATATACATAAAATATAAATACATAAACTGCTTTATATAAATATATAAACTGCTTAGTTCAATCTCAAGCATATTACTGTTATGTTCGTTCATAGAGAGCGTACCGGGACCTCATTACTTACATAAATCACAAGGAAATCAAATCACAAACGGACCCACAAACGAAACGAGTACAGTTTGTTTGTGGGTCCTTTTAGGGGAGTCTGAGATCACATGTTTGTTCACATATTCGAGCTGAACCGCTCCGAGAGCGTTTGCAGGGCTCAAATGAACTAGGTGTGAAAACACCCTTATACTACAAGGGGCCTTAAATTAAAATCCAAATGTTTGCAGTGGATTTTCTATTGCTGTTGCAGTCTTCACTTCAGAAAATCTTCTCCAATACAATGCTATGATTAAATCATTGTGGATGACTTTTTGATTTAGGAATTTCTTATAAATGAAATAATAATAAACACAATGAAGTAGAATTAAAAGAATTAAAAGTAACACATTCAAATATGTTACCAAAACATAAATGATATTCACTAAAAGAAAAAAGGCATAAAACAATTTGCAATATGATAATGTAGTTTAAACTATGTAATGAATGTCACAATTCTGTAGATCTCTTCCTCTCTTGACCTGTTTATGGAATACGAACTCGCCCTTACAGGTTCTATATCTTGGTGACCACAACCTTCAAGGAGATGTTCTCTTCCAGGTGATACATCTTGCAAATTCATGTGACAGGTGGAGTGAGACCTGGGAGTGTTGTCAAAACTCTCCCTGCCCAGCTCTAATTTGTCCTTCTCAACCAGCTCAGTCATGCCTCTAGAAAATTCCTCCACATCACTGTGTAAGTCCATAATGACAGTGAAATCCACCTCAGCTTCCAGGCTTGAAGTGGAGCTGACAGTCATACTTGAACATTTCCTCTCGATGGCCAGGTAGGTGTCCTTCAAGCCAGCAAACTCACAATTATAATCGTCCTCCAAGGGCAGAGTGAGATTGCTGCTGTTGAGGAAAAGAAGGGGTAGCGTTTTTCTACATCACATAATGAAACAAACCGTAATGATGGAGATATGAAGAAATCATGGGTGTGATTTTGAGCAGTTGATCATGCTTGAGTGAAATGATCCAGTGTAGTGATCCAGTCATGACATCATATATGTTGATGCATTCTGTTCTCACAGCAGGTAAATATTATCATATGGTTTGCAGTAGGCATGTGTCAGTTTAAAATTGTTATATTGTGATAATTGCTGAAGATTTTGTCACGATAAACCAGTACTGTATTACCACAGAACTTAAGTACACTGCTAAAAAATGGTTACTAAAAAACTTAAATATTGTGTCCTTTTAATAAGTTTCATGAATTTTTCAAATAAAAAATAACCATAAACATTTAAATACAATAACACAATAGCTTTTTGCAAACATTTACATACTATTTAACTTCATGTCTTTTGCAGCACAAACTGGTGTCAGAAACAGAAAATGGTAATGCTGCTTTAGGTAACAGTGGTAACTGCTGTAATTTGCTGTTCTATAAGTACCACCTACTGTCAGACAACAATTGTGTTGACATATTTTTAACCAGTTAATGGAAAAGAAGCTAATGAGCATTCTAAAAAAAAATTAAACAATTAGGATAATAAGGCATTTAGAATTATTCATGGTATTTAAATGTCCACGATAACAATCCATTGCATGTTCATTACAGCAAAATAGGCTACCATATTACCAAATACCAAATATAATGTCTAGTTTGTAGAAAAAAGAAATTAATTGACCAAAAACAATTTGCATGCATGATTTTGAATTGGGACTTTTTAAAGGTTACACAAACAACAACAACTACTGTCAGAAGTCATTCTAATTTTCTAATCATCCTGACCACTGATTGAGCAAGTACACTAAACTGTCACTTGGAACACATAAAAAGTATTCGAAAGCACGCTTTTAATATTGTTATTTTTGTAGAAAAGCCTGAGTAGAAAATTAAGTATTTTTTTTTAAAAACATGTAAGAACATGGAAACAGTGTGGAATGAGACACCTTAACATCATATTGTGGGTCTTCAAGAGTAGAAGCAGTGGACAGAGGCTCCTGCAAAGGAAAAGCAGAACAAGAAAGAAAGAGAAGCAGTCTAAAGTTAGCTGTGTTATTGAAGCAACACACGAGGAAAGAAAGACATGCACTGCAACCTAAACACACACACATGCATTTAAATCAATTTGTAAGTGAATATAAAATTCTCTAGTTCTTAAAATGTGATTCTCCTTCAAGGGAACTCCACACTGCGTCCCCTAGGGACACCTGAGGACTCACGACCTATGAGTTATCTGTTTGGGAGAGGAGCATGCGTGTTCAGTGTTAGAGGGCATTGAATGCGTTCATTGCGAGAAATTCTCAATGAAACAGCTCAGATCGCCCATGTCATTATTCTCCAGGGATGCAAGACAGACATCTGCACCTTGCAGCTCTGGTCCCGATGTTGTTGAGGCAAGCCGGAAGCTCCAATCATGGCGATCGCAGGTGGAGCTTGTGGAGAAACTGGAGAAAGGTTTGGAGAACGAGAAATATTTCTGCTTCTTTTGTCAAAAGCCGCAGGATCTGGACATGCTCTCTCTTGAGTCGTCCGGTTCGGCAGTTAGTAAGCTGCTGGCGTCATCCAGACGAGGCCGTGGATGTAGTTGGTGATGACGAAGAAAGTGTGGGCACTGAGTCATCTCAGCACACCAGCCCCACATACAGGGAGCTATTGGAGGTTATGGCCCGTGCTACTAAGAGACTGGAGTTGGTTGGGGGCATGAGAAACAGAAGCGTATGTGGCAGCAGGTTAGGCCGCGGGGGTTCTGCACACTATGGCTGTGTTGTCAGGCCCACCAGGCAGACCTGCTGAAAGATCTAGATGAAGGTAAGGGGACAAACCCTGAGGCTATGGAGGAGCTGCACCACAGATCTCGATCTCCATGCTGCCAAGAAAACCGCTGCTGCCATCGGCCGGGCGATGGCGCAATGGTGGCTACGGAGTGCCATCTGTGGTTAAATCTAGTGGACATTGGGAGAAAGGAGAATAACCCTTTCCTTGATGCTCCACTCTCACCATCTGGGCTTTTTGGCACATCCGTTGAGGCGTTGTTCGAAAAGTTTAGGGAGGCGAGGGTGCAGTCTGCAGACTTCAAGAGGTACATCCCTTATCGTTCTAGATCATCTCCCAAAACCTTTGAGGGGGCTGGTCCGTCTCAGACCGAGGATCACAGACCAGAAATCTAGCGCGGCCACTCATGCTCCTCCCCCTTCCAGGAGTAGAGCACACAGGAGGTGTGACGCTAAAGAGAGTAGAGGGGATCTCACAAAGTTGATAGAGAAGAGGCACACTGATAGCAGGCACTCTGTTTCTAAGTCCCCTTAGTGCTTAGTGCTGGGTGTCGGCCCTCTCTCTCATGGGCCACCCCCCATCGCCGGTGCATGTTTACCACTATTCTTGGTGGTCAGGCATGCACCAGGGCATGGCGTGGTTGGTATTTCATAGCCCAAAGTGTGCCCTAGGGGACGTAGTGTGGAGTTCTCATGAAGGGGAACGTTTTGGTGTTATGCATGTAACTATGATTCCCCGAGAGGGAACGAGATACTGCGTCCCCTTGCCATGCCTTGTGCCTGCCTGTGACATGTCTCCTTCAGACAAAGAAGTTGATGAAGTGCATTACCAGCATCCTCTTATACTTCCGGGTGCCCTGCTAATGACGTCATGGGGTGTGTGGCCCAATGGTCATGCTGAGGGCATTCCCCAAAGTGTCCCCTAGGAGACGCAGTGTCTTGTTCCCTCTCGGGGAACCACAGTTACATGTGTAACCCGAGAGGTTCTTGACTTATATTTTAGAGGATAAAAACGTCACAATCTCATTTAACATGCGGGGGTTCTTCACATCACCAAGTGGGTTTTAAAAATAAACCAACTAGTTTTAAAAGAGATTTTAAAGAATCAAATAATTCACAAAAAAGTAAACATTTAGTAACGAAGTTAAACAGTGTACTACCTACATTGGCCAAAAAAAAAAAAAGATTTAGAAACAGATTTAGAATGCTCTACTTGGGGAGCAACTGATGGACAGGTCCCCTGTATTCTCCACGTATTCTACGCCCATGCACATCATGCAGAATTCATTATTTAATGTGACAATCACCACAAAAGCTTCTGTTAAGGGTTGAATGCTCAGGCTGGTTGCTGTTAGTGTTTCAAAAATTTTCAAAGGTACTATGTAATTTCACTAAATTTACTATGAAGAAATGGGCTATCGAAGCAAATGGCCAAAACATTTAACCTCCAGACAATTATAAACATATTGATGAAATAGTTTTAATATAAATAGATATTTTTGGTGTAGTCGATTGCATATTAAACAGAAAACTACTCATTAATGGTTAAATTGTAGGCTTCTCTAACCCCTCTCTTCATGGGCAAGCAAACAGTATGATTTTACACGTACTGTAAACACAAGTATGTTTAAATTATAAAAAGGAAAACAATGAATGTGTGAATCAATCTTAAGTTCATGCAATACTTGTTTGTCCAGTGACTGAAAGTTTTAAAAATTCCATGTTGATTACCAGAAGGTTCTTTTTGATGGCTTCAAGAGTTGGGTCTTTGCTGAAAATGTGACTATTGCGCAGAAAGAGACCTGATTCTCTTGCTTTCTTTGTTTTGACTGGAGGTGTTGGAGGGGCATTTTTTTGGTTAACTGTCTGTTTGGAGAAGTGAAGTTCAGAAATGCTCTCATCAGTATGCAGAAGATCTCTGTGGACTATTCTGCTGGTGTGTTTTGTAGTGTCTTCATTCCGTATACCCTTTTCTTTTGGTGAACTCTCAAGACTCTTTATCGCTTGATGCTCTGAGCACACACAGATGTCCTTGATAGCTAAAGATAATTCCTGACTTGTATTTCCTTTCACTAGACTTGTGGAGCAGTTTGCATGGAAATAGCTAGTGTCCCTGCTCTCGAACTTACAGGGGTCAAAGTGTCTCACAAAAGATTCATTCATACTGTATCTTTTAAAATTTATTTTCATTAGTTCAGAGCCTTGTCCAATATCTAGGTCATCTTTGTAGCCTTGGCTCCTCACTCTCTCAGGTTTTAATGGAACAATTCTTGTTATATCTGTTCTTACATGTCCAGTAACACTCTGGCTAGTTTTTCTCAGTTCCATGGCCATTTGGATTTCTGCAGATTCTTCCAGTTCAAAATTGCTTATCTTCTTTTCAAGACCCAAATCTTCTGTTTCTTTCTTCTTTGCTTTTCCAGATTTCGCTTCATTCTTGCTATTATCAATCATGATGACTTTCATGACTTCAAATCTGATATCAGTCTTGACACTTTTCTGCTCATCTTTGCCAGGGCCACTGAATGAATCTTGGTTTTCTTGTTTGCCTTCAGTGTTCATAATCTTCACTTCGTTGGATAGCTGCTCTTGACATTCTACAAATTTTCTTGCATCATCAGACTTTCCTGAATCATGCAAACTTTCATGCATCTTTCTTGCTCCCTGATTGGGAATCTGCAAGTCTTTTCCCATTACCCTGTCAAACTCTTTATTTACTTTAAGCGGTGTTGCCGCATATGTATTTGTGGCTGGCTGAATTAACTTTTCAGCCATGGATGATGTCCATGTGTCTGTTGTTGTGCTGAAATTTTCAGGATGACAGATCACAATCTCCTTTATAAGTTCAGTATTGTTGTCCTCATCAGACTCTACACTATCGTGTGTGATGTTTGAACCTTTGGCTTCTGTCTCATACACAAAGTCCCTTGACTTCCCCAAGTTTAAGCTTTGAGGTCTTTTTTCCCTTCTGACTTTACATTGAGAACTCTCCGCCATGATGTCTGTAGTGGTAATCTTGTTGTTAGGCTGAGACTCAGCAAGTGGTGTAGGCTCTTTTTTTGATATTTCATGAGACAATTTAGATTTAATCTTAGTTGTGGCATCTTCCCCTGTGATGATATTTTCCTTAGATTCACCTGACTTGTCCATTAGTGTTATTTTTGAGGATGCAAAAGTCTTCATGTGCAATTGTGTTTCATCACTGTCCTCTCTCATTAGGTCAATGTGTGTCATCTTGGTAATTTCCTGTTGTTTTTCTGTCTCCTCCTTTCGAAGGGGATCAATGACCAGAGAAGGTGGAGGTGTACTAGCTTTGTACTCTCCTTTCTCCTCCATTTCATAGTCAAGCAACACCCGTTCTTCAGAGCCCTATTTAATCATATAAATTAAAATTGTTAGTTCTTTAACTTGTCATCAAATCAGTAACCATTAGTGAATTTTAAATGTCTTCTGGATGAAGCCCTCCACTGAGAGGCTGTTGTCAGGTTCCCCTACCCCTGCACCAACAGCCTCCTGATAGATGGCCAGCTCCAAGAAAAAGAAAAAAAGAGGATAAACAAAAAGTAATTTATATTATGAACATTTAAAGAGCAATTTAAGATGTTGAAAGAAAAAATAATGAAAAAGAAATAGCAACACAAGTAAAATGATTATAAATAATGGGATTTAACACAGCATATAAACAAACATGAAAGCAGGAATCAGTATAATGAAAACAGCAGCAATAATGACTTGGGCAACCATTAAATACAATAGCACAACAAAATGCAACATAGTGGAGAACTGAATATAAAACATTACAAATTAGAATGTTAAAACAGCATGGCATACATGTCAAATCCATTATATCTGGTAAAACAAAAATCTGTATCAGCAAACAACAATTAGTTTGGCAATAAACACTACACCCACACCACATAATACTTTCTCTTTTTACCTTTACTAGACTAGTCAATGCAAAATTGCTACAAAAAGTGTAACAACTGAACTGACACTAAGGATTTTCCTTGTCAGTTGAGGGAATTCACATTGCACACAATCAATACAGCATGATGCACATATACATGATGATTGCAACCAAACAAGAAAGTAGAGACTAAACCAAGTATCAGCACATATATTAATATTCTGTCCTAATGCAGTATTTCCATACTCACTGCTTTCTTCTCTGGAGAGCCGCCTGGGGACGTCCCTGACAGACGTTTTTCCTGGTTCGTCAGTTTACTGTTGGGCTCCCTCAGGGCCCTCTTCAGCTCATTGATGCTGGCTTGGTGCTTCAAGAGAACATCCTCTGATTTGTCTAGAAACTACAGAGAGTACCAGAGAAAGAACAGCAATGATCAGGAAAACATCTAGTAGGATTTTAAACATTTATATTTTAATCCATATATTATGAGACTTCTCTTCTATTCCTTAAAATTGTATAGTAATGCTTGAGATGTGAGTATAGACTGAATAAATACTCTATAACCTAGATACGTACGATTATATAGATAATTGTGATGGAATCAGAATGAAATACCATGCCAACCATATCCACGTACCATGGTTTTTACATGATATTCCAAGGTACTTACAGGCATATAACCATGGTATGTGTCCAAAAACTGATTTGGTGTCATGTTCATTGAAGCTTGGTACATCATATAACTATTCGATATTTTGTTAGTAATGTACTTTACTGCAGAATGTATGGGTTCTTCTTTGGAAAATTAGAAATTAACTGATACAAAAAGTATAAGAGTGGGTGATATAACTAACATTCTATATCATAGAATGTTACAAAGCCAACATACTGATCCTCTTTTTAAATGTATTATTATGTAATTGGCTTGATGTATTATTATGTAATTTGCTTGATTATCTATTTAAACATCATAGTGATGCAGTTGTTCTGCATTGATTGTGGTATGAATTTGAGTGACAGCTAAAATTATTAGGTTTTTTTTGGGAGAGATGTGTTATAACTTTTATAAAAAAAAAATCAAGACATGTGGATGAGCTCTTTTGACTAAGGACTATTTTTGACTATTTTGTCTGTTCTGGAAGATCACATCAACTATGTCAGAGTAGTTCTCAATCACCTCTAAAACAACCAACTGTTAAAGCCAAGAAGTGTGAGTTTCAGATTACAACCACTACTTTCCTAGAATATGCCATTAGCCCTGCATCGACTTCACTATCCTGAGCTGTCTCTACCCTTCATTGTTGAAGTGGATGGCTTCAACGTTGACATAAAAGCAGTCCTCTTACAACATCATGGTAACCCAGCTAAGATGTACTTATGTGCATTCTATTCCCACAAATTGAATCCTGCCAAACAGAATTATGATCACCACACCACCACCACCATTATTATTTATATAGCGCTCTTTACAATGCAGATTGTGTCAAAGCAGGTTTACAGTATTAAACGGGGAAATAGTGTGTCGAATTATGATGTGAGTAACTGGGAACTCCTTGCCATTAAGTCAGCCCTGAAAGAGAGAACACCCTCATTGTCTTAATCGACCATCACAACTTGAAATGCCTTAAGACAGCAATACAACAAGCTTGCTGGTCTCTCTTCTTCTCCTGATTCAACGTCTCAGTTACCGAATGACCTGTCTTAAAGGGGTCATCGGATGCCCATTTTCCACAAGTTGATATGATTCTTTAGGGTCTTAAAGTCTATAACATACTTTGGTTAAAATTTCTCAATGGTGGTGTAAAACAGATTTTTGGCCTTTTATTTGATAGGATAGTGGTTAGACAGGAAACGAAGTTGGAGAGAGAGAGGGGGGAAAGGACCGGGAAAGGTTCCCAAGCCTGGACTCGAACACGAGACCCGAAGTGCAACAGTGCTACATGTCGACGTGCTGCCCACTAGGCTATCGGCGCTGACAAGCAACACTCTTTTTACCTTGTCAAAATAAGCTCTGGGGCCTCATGTATTAAACTTTACATAGATTTCATCCTAAATGTGTGCGTACGCACAAAAGCTAGATTTCGCGTACGTACAAAAGTTTTCAGATTTATAAAGCCATGCGTACGCCAGAACCTGCGCAAAATTCCCTTTGTAATACCCAGTCAGCGGAAGATTGTGCGCACATGAATCTCCACCCCGTCTCCTCCCCGAAATAGCCATTTATGGAGCTTACAACGCCTAGTTTTAATATGCATAACGTCATCTGCATATCATTTCCATGCATATTCCATCCACGTGACAACATGTTTAACGCAGTTAAGGGTAGGAATACGTTAGGAAAATATGAGATACGGACTATAAATGCGTTTTGAGACATCACTATTCTAATTTATGCAATTTGCCTAAAAGGTAAACATATATTTTAGAATGTTTATAATCTATATTTTTATGGAAAGAGATAGGCCTTATTTTTTTGCAGTGTAATTAGCTGTCTGACTCACCGCGTCAGTAACAAAACATTTTGAAAATAAAACGCGCATATCTTACAGTTTCCTTCAAATTCTATGTTTTAAATATGGTGTTTGTCACAATATTGGGAAGAGCACGAAAGGAGTTATCATTAGGCTACTGTCTGTGCGCGACACCTGTGAACAGAGGTTCTACTGTCATCAGACCAATGGACTGTTTGATCAACGAGTGCATCCTTATGTCTGTCGTTACTGCCATCAAACAAAGTCAAGTTTACAAAAATGATCATTATTATTCACGCAAAAGTATTTTCTCAGAACATGAGTTTTGCTATTTAGAACACAATTTAAAGCGGAATTGTCATGCGCCAAGCAATCCTCGCTGTGATTAAAACATTAAATCGCATACCACAGGAAAATTGTTCGAAAGCAGCATCCACTGCAAATATTTTTTTATATAAATTAATATAAAAATTTTGTAATTTCTGGATAATAATTTCATGAAATTTCAGCACTTAACTTCATTATTCAGAATGTCATATTTAATCTAAACGTGTATGTCAAATGTAAAACAGACTTTAAAATCATTCTGTTTGCTTCCTTATTTCACTCCCTCCAGTAAAAGAGTGCGTACGCATGGTCTAGAGCAGAGGTGCTCAAACTCGGTCCTGGAGGGCCAGTGTCCTGCAGAGTTTAGTTACAACTTGCCTTAACACACCTGCTGGGAAGGTTCTAGTATGCCTAGTAAGAGCTTGATTAGCTGGTTCAGGTGTGTCTAATTGGGGTTGGAGCTAAACTCTGCAGGACACCGTCCCTCCAGGACCGAGTTTGGACACCCCTGGTCTAGAGTGTCTGTATTTACACATACACATTTACACATAGACCCCTGGTCTAGAGTGTCTGTATGCGCACATATTTACGTCTAGTATTATTTTTTATAAATCCCGATATGTGCGTGGAAAATTGTATACGCACATTTCCATGCCCATTTTGTGCGTATGCAACGTTTATACATCAGGCCCCTGGCCACAGCAACCTGTTCTGTTGCATGTTCCTTTAAATGCTAATGAGCTCTGCTCACCCCGCCCCTGTCTTCCGTGGGGTGACAAAGCGTTCTCTCTGAGACTGTTTACTTTAGCCGCATTGAGCTGCAAAACTTGCTAACTAGCACGTTATTAGGAAAGGTAATTTGCAAAGATTTATAAAAGAACCTTATACTCACTTCTTCTGTAGGAGAGGCTGGATCAGGAAATGATTCGCGCAAACCTAAACATATTTAGGTAGGGGGGCGCATTCCCTTCAAACACAAAAGTAATCCACTTCAGCGGCTCAGATGTCGGGAGTAAATGACGACTGCTATGATCATTATTACATCCAACAACAGAACACCTCAATCGCTTAGGAGCAATTCTTATCTACCCCTGCTCCGGCGTCGAAACAATGGCGGACTGTTCACTCAGGGTGGGTCTAAGGTAAAACGCTTGTTTCAATCAACAATTGTGGGAGGGGCCTGGGCCTGTGTGACGTCACACAGACAGGCATCTGAGAATGGCTTGATATGAGAAAGGGGAAATGATTTAACAAGATTAAAAAAAAAAAACACTGGGTGGATCTTTATCATTATAGGGTCGTGGTGTACACACACTGCCAACACACATTTCAGTTCAAACAACTTGTAAAAGTGCATGTCGCACTCGCATCCAATGACCCCTTTAGGGAATTCAAAAACAGAAACCCTGTCTAAAATGACACTGACACCTCCAAAAAACCCCAAACTTCCTGCCTCCAGGAAACGGAGCAAGCATCAAGAGCATAAGCCTCCACATCCCATACCTGACTACACTCTAGTCATTTGCGTGAGAAATGCACCAATCAACTGGTTTAGAACAAGTTCTGCTGGCCTTCCCTTCTGTAGAATTAGAGGTCGACCATTTGATCGGTTTTGCCGATTAATTGTCACAGTTATCTGGATAATTGCTGGAAAAATTGGTTATCTTTAGCAGCCATATCACCCTGCAGCCCAAGACTGGTTGCCCACTGAAGCTAAGCAGGGTTGAGCCTGGTCAGTACCTGGATGGGAGACCTCCTGGGAAAACTAGGTTGCTGCTGGAAGAGGTGTTAGGGAGGCCAGCAGGGGGTGCTCACCCTGTGGTCTGTGTGGGTCCTAACGCCCCAGTGTAGTGACGGGGACACTATACTGACA